AGTTGGCAAAACGAAGCACAGAGATCTTAACCTTCAGCTATAGTTGTAGTTATTGATAGTCATTGAGGAAACCATCACTGGTTCCCCCCTAAGAAGTATGTTTAGAGTCTTTTAAAACAAATCCATGACGTCTGTCATTTTTCTTTGCTTTTCATGCAGGAGGAAGAGAGTGAAGAGGAGCCCAAACTGAAGTATGAAAGGCTTTCCAATGGGGTAACGGAAATTCTTCAGAAGGATGCAGCTAGCTGCATGATAGTCCATGACAAGGTAAGGGAGCACTGCCAGAGGATTCTTCTGTAAGTCTTTTCTATTGTAAGTTTGTTTGTACTTTGCAGTCCTGATGCTTTTGTTGGTGGTTTTCTTACAGTGATTGTGTCTCCCTGCTACAATTCCCTTCTTCTTCCTTACTGACAAAAAACAAAACAACAACCCCAAATATTTTGTATATGTATAAACACCCACGCAGACACATACAATACACTCCAAGTGTATAGTAAGTAGAATTTGGATAGCGATTGATGTGGAAACTCAATCACTGAATTGTTCAAATTACAAAAATGAGATTAGGAACATGTTAAGATTAGAAAGTGTGAAGCTCAGCACTTTTATGAGGAAGAAGAGATTATATTGCAGGTGTTAGGAATTAGTAGAAATGCTCCAAATTATTACTTCCAAATTATATGAATGAATGTGTATGTTCCATATCTGAGTTCTTGCTATAACAAATCTCCCACCAACTTCTGAGTCCAGACTAAGTACTGGGTAGCATGGTTAGCCTATTCTTGGACCAGAACAGTCTGTGTCTTAGTCGGAATATTGAGACCAGGGAGTTTCTGCTATCACTCTCTTCCTCCCTATGAACCTGTGAGTCTTAGTTCTTCCACAGTAGGAGAGAACTCCCCACCTCTGGTCCCTCTCCTGCCTTTATATCCTGTGTTACTAGCAGTGTTGCTGAACCTCTTGCCTGTCTGCCACCTAATTCCTTTTTACTTCATATTTTGTTCCATTGTAAATAGATTCCTGTACTCACTGAACACTTTAATAGTGTTTTTGCTCTCTCTTGTTTTGCCAGAAACCCCCTCCTTTGAGATGCCTGCTGTGACACCATCGACCCCTCATCACTGCTGCCATCTCCCAACTTCCTGTCACTTTCCCTCACTCACTGAAGACTGGGTTTGCAGTTCTTCAACCTAATTTAATTCCAGTGACTTTCACTCCTTCCCTGTTTCATCTCCAAGGCCACATGCTGGACGGTGTCAGCACTTGGAACAGGAGGATCTCCAGCCTCCATAATATACTCTGTTGACCCCTTTTAGCCTTCAAGCTTTTGTATTTGTTTTCCCACAAACCTTGTTCTCTGACTTTGTGGAGTCCTGCTCTCCAATCCATTCTTTTTCTTTTTCCTGTGAAATGATTAATTGTTCTAACTTTACCAGCATCTGAATCCTCTTACATCTCTGCTGTCCACTGTGCCTTCCAGCCAAAAATCTCAACTCTGAATAGTGCTCTAATGCCCAGGGCAGCATACAGACTTACGTGCCTATGTAAATTTGTCACTAAAAATGCTATTATTTATTTGTTCTTCATCAGCTCCTTTAGTCCTCAGTCTCCCTTGTCAACCACTGTCCTTTCTTTCTCAGAGGATAATGTTATTTTTATTTAGGAACATTGAAACCATCAGGCATGAGCCCCGGTTCCCAACCCCTTTCCCAACTCATCTGGATCCACACCGATCCTTACTCACAGGAGGATTTCTTCCTCCTGTTCAAGGACCTTTTTGTCCACTTTCTTCTTCACGTCATCTTACTCCCTTCCTTTTCTCCCAGAGATATATGCTATGTCATGGGACGTATCTAACGCCAGCCCCAGGTACCCACTAATCTACTTGCTATCTCCATAGATTTGTCTATTTGGGATATTTCATATAAATGCAATCGTACGTTATTTAATCTCTGCGTCTGGCTTCTTAGTGTAATGTTTTTGAGATTCATCTGTGACATAGCATCTATTGGTACTTCGCTTCTTCTTATTGCTGAGTAGTATTCCGTTGTATGGACACACCACATTTTGTCTATCCATTCTGTTTATGGACATTTTGCTGATTTTCAATTGCGGATCTCATCTTTCTTCTCAAAACTTACCTTGACACCGTTCTCTTACTTTCTCGATCATGATACTCCCTTCTGTTTCTTTCACTTTCCTTTATATCCACCTTTCCCTTATGTGTTGGTTTTCCCAGGATTTGGGCCATGTTTCATCTCCTCTTATAATTCTTTGAAGAATTGCTTCCAGATCTTGATCCCGCTTGTTTAAAATTTCCTTTGAAAGGTCTGCTCTTATCTGCAGCTGATCCGGGTGTAACGGTTTTGGCAGCCATTGAACAGAAAGTTTGTTCAACTTTAATTTTTCAGTCAGAATTGTGTATGTTGAACCAGTTGAGATGTCTATGGTGTTGGCTATTGTTTCTGCTGTTAATCATCAGTCCTCTTCAATTAGGGCGTGAACAAGATGAATTTTTCCTTCACAAATTGACGTGGATGGTCTGCCCCTATGGACTTCATCTTCAACATTGTCTCCTCCCTTCTTAAAATGAGTGATTCATTTGCAAACTGCTGATTGCTGTGAGGCATTGTCTCCACAAACATTTTGTAAAGATCAGTGATTTTACCATTCTTCTACTGAAGTGTCACCGTAAATTTGGAGTTCTTTTTTCAATTTTAGCAGAATTCATGTTGCTGTGATAGGGGCTTTTTTTTAAAACTGGTCTTATTCTTCTTAGTGCCTCGAACTAGATCTTGTTCAGACATGTTATAATGAGTTAGTATGAGTTTATTTTGGTGCAAAAACATTTTGAAATCTTTGCATAGTTTTTTCATAATATGCATTTTCCATGAAATTTTTGAAGACCCCTCTAAAATTGGTGTATGTCTTACCACTTTCTGCCATAGATGTGGTGCTCTGGGAGCAACACTTGGCTGTTTTTACTCACAACCCCCCTTCGGCTTGAATCCACTCCCATTCTGAGCCCTTTTCTTCTGTTAGTTTAGGCATCATTATTTTTCCCTGGAACTAGTGCACATACATACCATGAAGCTAATCTATTTTCCTTTAGATTTGCTTTCACTCTAGTCCATTCATAACACTTACACTAAAGTGATCTTCCAGAAATTCCAATCTGATCATGTAATTCTCCTTCTTAGAATTTTTTATTGGCTTCCTGATGTCTTAATGATTTGGACCTACCCACCCTGCTTTCCTCTGCTTTCCTGCCTTTCATCTTTCCATAAATATTTGAATGCCTCTTATTAGCTGACCTTTTCAACCTCATCACTATTTCTCCCCCTGGGCATGAATTAGATGCTTCATCCATTATAAAGCTGCTTATAATTTCTTGGGTTTTTTTTTTTTTTTTTTCTTTATTATGTGACTCCATGAGCAAGTTGTATCCACTCTGCCTAAATAGGTCCTTACCACAAGCCTATCTTATCTGCCTCAGTGTCTGTTTTCTACTTCC